GAGGGGGGTCTCCCCAGAGCAGAGCGCAGCAGAGGGGCACAATCCCCCCTCGCCCTGCTGGCCACACTTCTGATGCAGCCCGGGATGGCAGCGGCTTTCTGGGTTGCGAACAGGCCAAATGCACAGGCCAAATCCAAAGTGCCATTAAAACAACCCAGCTCCTGAAACGCCCCCACCTTTGCACACCACCACCTGCTACTCTGAAACGTTAACTGTTATGTGCCGTGTCTTTATGCTTCCTGATTAAAAGCACCCCTAAAAGCTCAAACAGGTATTAATACCACGCTCCAGGAGTTAGCTCTGGACAGAGCGGGAGGCACGATTCCTATTTACTTTAACTGCCCTGAGATTTTTGCTTGCTCTTACCCATGGCTGCATCACGGTCACTGCATTACGGGATGTGGTTTGTGGTGGGTTTGGCAGCGTTAGGTTAACAGTTGGACTCGATGATCTTAAAGGTCCCGTCCAACCTAGACGATACTACGATTCTATGTGCTCAGCCTCTGCACCAACCGGCTCTGCGCTGCCAGCTCCTCATGAAACCCGCTGGAGTCCACAGCAAAGCGATAAAAATAAATAAATTGGGAAAAGATGTGAGAATGGGTAGTTTGCAGTATAACCCCACTTCAATGGAATTCATGTCACCTTCTGCTCCCCTCTCCTTTTTATCGCTGGTTATTCTAAGTGTGGCCCCGTCAAGGTGAGCCAGAAAACCAACCTGCCATGCGACTCGGCTTGACCGCATCCCATCAGCCGTGCCGCTGGGGCCACCTGCTCCGTCCCCACGGTCCCCAGGGCTGGAGCCGGCACAGCCTCGACCTACCGCAGAGCTGTGATGCTGCGGATGAGGGGCCGTGAGTGCAGCGGGGCTGCTCCCCTCCCAAAGCCCATTTCCAGCCTGCCCAAAGCAATTCCTTCATGCCCAAAGCATTCCCTATATGCCAGAAGCAATTCCTAATGCCTAAAGTTTCCCTATTGCCCAAAGCATTTTCTATATGCCCAAAGCATTCCGTATATGCCCAAAACATTTTCTGTATGCCCAAAGTAATTCCTTCATGCTCAAAGCAATTCCTACACGCCCAAAGCATTTTGTATATGCCCAAACCAATTCCTATATGCCCAAAGTATTTTCTGTGTGCCCAAAGCAATTCCTACATGTCCAAATTCCTACATGCCCAAAGCATCCCCTATATGCCCAAAGTAATTCCTACATGCCAAAAGCCATTCCTATATGCCCAAACCAATTCCTACGTGCCCAAAGCATTTTCTGTATGCCCAAAGCAATTCCTACGTGCCCAAACCGTTTTCTGTATGCCCAAACCAATTCCTACTTGCCCAAATTCCTACGTGCCCAAAACATTCCCTATATGCCCAGAGTCATCCCTATATGCCCAAGCCAATTCCTACCAGCCCAAAACATTTTCTATATGCCCAAAGCAATTCCTATATGCCCAAATTCCTACATCCCCAAAGCAATTCCTACATGCCCAAAACATTTTCTATATGCCCAAAGCAATTCCTACATGCCCAAAGCATTCTCTATACGCCCAAAGTAACTCCTACACACCCAAAGCATTTTCTACACATCCAACACAATTCCTCTATGCCCAAAGCATTCCCTCCAAGCCTTATTAAAAAAAAAAAAATAAATAAAAATACACCCCTCAAAATACTAATTTCGGGATGAAACTGGAAAAGAGGCGGCGGTGAAAAACGAGGCGCCCCGGTGAACCCGCTTTAATTTACGCCCTTGAATTTGCGAGGCAAAGGGCGGGTCCCTGGGGCAGCTCCGCGGAGATAGTGAATTCAGATAGTGAGTTTTAGTGGAAAAAAATAAAAGAAAATGGCATAAAAAGGGCTGTCGCAATGATAGAGGGGGGGCAAAGCCCGG